CTCTTTTAAGAAGAATTAATTTAACATGTTTGCTTACCCAAAAAAAATGTACGGATCTTTGGATTCAGAATTTTCTAATCATTAATATTTTTTTGCTAAGTATATATGTATATATATATGTATATATCTCCTGTTCGAAAATGCGCCGCCAAAGACCATATAATCGCAGGAAAATCGTAACTCACTACCAAACGTGGTAATTAGAGTACTTCGAACAATATAACCGCCTAGTTGTAATCATGAGATTTGCACATTGGGTATGTCTGATGTTGTGCACTATCCTTGTAATCGATTAAGCTTAGTACTGAAGTTGTTCCAAAAAAAAAGTACAAAATTTACCAATCACCTAAACCCAAATCCTAGACCCTAAACTCTAAACCCTAAAACCTAACTCTAAACCTAAATCCTAAACCCTAAATCCAAACCATATAACATAAATCCTAAACCCTAAATCCAATCCATATAACTTAAATCCTAAACTCTAAATCCTAAAAATAAACCCTAAACTTAAACTCTAAACCCTACATCCTATACCCTAAATCCAAATTCTAGATCTTAAACCCTAATCGTAAACCTTAAGCCTAAATTCTAGATCCTAACCCCTAAACCATAGATTCTAAACCCAAACTTTAAACCTTAAAGGAACAACATCAACATTAACCCAAATTTTTAGGGTTCAGAGTTTAGGTTTAGAGTATAGGATTTCGATTTAGAGTCTAGGGTTTGGGTTTAGGATTTACGTTATAAGGTTTGGATTTAGGATTTAGGTTTAGAGTTAGGTTTTGGGGTTTAGAGTTTAGGGTCTATAGTTTAGTTTTAGGGTTCATGGTTTAGGGTTTAGAATCTAGGATTTGGTATAAGATTTGGATTTAGGGATTAGTTTTAAGGTTTACTGTTTGGGTTTAGGGTTTAAGATTTGGGTTTAGGATATAGGATTTGGGTTTCGGATTTAGAGTTTAGGATTTAGTTTTACAGTTTAGGGTTTAGGGTTTAGATAGCAGCGTCGTTAAAATTATCATTATTATTTTTTAAACTATTTTAGCTTTTTTAGAAAAAAGTTAATATTTTTAATTAATAATTTAAATGGTAATTTGATTGGGTATAAGAATATGGGTGAGTTTAAAACTTCATCTTAGGAGCTGAACCTAAGTTTTGTTCAAAGAAAAATGCAATTATTTTTCATATGTTTAATTGACCCTACACTTTTTCCTTTATCGTAGATACTACCTTTTTCAGGAAAATCTGTATCTTCCCACACCCACTACCGACCAATCCACTTATGTAAGCTCACTTTTGCAAATACTATAGAGCCGTTTATAAAACGAACTAATCAATTAATAATCATTTGTATTAATATAAACACCTATGAAACAAACCAAAATATATAGTCTAGTTATTTTTTTTACCATTTTGATTCAAAATTCGAATAATATATAACAAAAAGAAGTATTGAATATAAGCTAATTAAAAAAACTTGTGTAAATATTTTAAGAAACTGAATAATTATTTGAAAATATATAGGAGAATAACTGAAATGTACTAAACCACAAACGAACAAGAAAAAAGAGCTTGTTAATAAACAAATAAGAAGAGCTCAGTGTCCAAAATTAGCAATTGTACACATATTCTTACATGTCTTCTAAATAAAACCAGAGGCTCATATAAAAGCTACCTATTACGAACCTCTTCTCTGAATTAAAACTTTTGGATTTTGAATATTTTTACAGGTTTTGAAACCTCAATCCTCTGATTCAATCTTCGTCTTTGTCAAAACCTTGGTTGATACGTTTTTTTTCTTTCTCCCGCTGCCTTGCGGTTCAAGTAATCACAAGGCGGTGAGGAAGAAAGAATAATATTCAAACGATGAAAGCGGGAATGAATAGAACTTGGAATGCACGCTATTCATTAAGTCTATTGATTTTGTTATCATCAATTATTTTTCTTTGCAACGGCCAAGATTATGGAACGCCGACCGAAGATGGAGCTGGCGGAGGCGAACCACCGCCTGAGATGGCTCACTGTAACGGTATTTTCATGAGCTACAGCTTCGGCAGCCGTGAAAGAGAGTACCCGCACTTCAAGAACGTGACCGCACAATCGTGGGCGTTTAAAGCGACTGCGATGATTGTAAACGCGGGAAAGGAAGAGCTCAAGGGATGGCAAATGTTTATAGGGTTTCGCCACAAGGAACTGATCGTTTCTGCGACTGGTGCGGCTCCAATGGATGGTGATTATCCTCTGGATGCTAGCAATGGAACCACGTTCGTTGGATCGCCAAACACAGACTTGAAAACCTCTATTGAAACCGCTGGTGATTTCACTCAGATATCAACGAATATTGAAATCACTGGGACCCTTTTCGGTGTTGCAAAGTCGGTCATGCCAATGCCAAAAACTCTTAAGCTCATCAACGATGGTTGGGAATGTCCTGCGGCCAAGAGAAAAGGTTAGCTCCATTGTTTGCATTAAACAAAACTAATTGCTTGCATTTTAGAAACATGCATTTCAGTTTTTTTTTGTTTGCCAAATATTTGAATTTCAAATAAATATGAGAAGAGTTTGTTATGTTACAAAAATATTAAAACAAAGAAGAGTCAACCGATGTAAACAGAATTGAGATATTTATCACGTAATATTACATTTGCAATTTGTAAAATATGTTTTGATAAAATATTAAACATGATTTTTAAAATGGTGAGTTTTGTTTTCTTTCCACAGGAGGAAATATGAACGTTTGTTGCAAGAGAAACCCAAAGTTCAAGGTCAAGACCGGACCAAAGACAAAGTTTGCACCGAGAAGGTACGGTGATCTGAACATAGTATACGATGTTCTGCAATCATCCGGCAGCAACTACTTAGCCCAAGTGACGATCGACAACGATAGTCCACTCGGGCGTTTGGACCGTTGGAACCTGACTTGGGAATGGACGCGAGGAGAGTTTATAAACACGATGAGAGGAGCTTACACTCACAAGAGAGATCCATCTGAATGTCTTTACAGCAAAGCTGGACAGTATTACAAGGACTTAGATTTCTCTCAGGTCATGAACTGTCAGAAGAAGCCAGCTATTTCTGATTTGCCTCCAGAGAAGAAGAATGATAACGTGACTGGAAAGTTACCTTACTGTTGCAAAAACGGAACTCTTCTGCCATCTAGTATGGATCCTTGGAAAGCTAGATCTATTTTTCAATTACAGGTAATTATTAATCATGTCGATAAAGACATAGGTTGGGGTGGGGCTCAGGTACCTTTTCGGGTCTATTCGAGTTTCAAAACTAGAGATTTAGTCTCATTCTATTATTTATAAATTTGGATTCGGTTCAGATTTTTTGGGGGTCTGGTTTTTAAAAATTTCAAAATCCAAATATAGTTTTAAAACTCCAGAATCTAAAATTAAAATATTAATATTATAGCATAGAAATTTGAATATTATATGATCAAATATCTAAAATTAACATGAAAGTTTATTTGGTTTGGATGGAAAACTTATGGGTATGTCCGGTATTTTTTCCCTATGTAATGAAATGGCAGAGATTTAGGGTTTTGAAGTTCTGCTTTGTTTTGTGTTCTCACTTGGTTAGGTTTTCAAGTTGCCTCCTGATCTAAACAGAACAGCTCTATACCCACCTCAGCATTGGAAGATCGATGGAGTTCTCAACCCACAGTACAAATGTGGGTCACCGGTTCGGGTTGACCCGTCGCCATTCCCGGATTCTAGTGGGCTACCGGCTATAACCTATGCCATAGCCAGCTGGCAAGTTATTTGCAACATAACCAAACCCAAAGCTCAGGCCTCAAGATGTTGCGTCTCTTTCTCTGCCTATTACAACAACTCTGCAGTTCCTTGCAACACTTGCGCTTGTGGATGCAATGACATCGATACCAACACTTGTAATGCTGACCGTAACCCACTCCTCCTCCCTCCAGACGCCCTCCTTGTCCCTTTCGAAAACCGAACCCTAAAAGCTAAAGCATGGGCGAAACAAAACCACATGACAATACCCAAGAAACTCCCTTGTCCTGATAACTGTGGAGTCAGTATTAACTGGCATGTTAACACTGATTATAGAGACGGTTGGACCGCTAGGTTAACCGTTTTTAACTGGAGAGGTTTCGCGTTTGAGGATTGGTTTGTAGCGGTTGATATGGGTAAAGCAGGACCAGGGTATGAAAACGTTTACTCCTTTAACGGCACACGTGTTCCACCAAACAATAGAACTGTTATGTTCCAAGGGTTGCATGGTTTGAACTACCTTGTAGGTCAAGTTAATGGAACCAATCCACTAAGAGACCCTGCCGTGCCAGGGAAGCAACAGTCTGTTATTTCCTTCAAAAAGAAGAACATTAATGGACTGAATATACCAGGAGGAGACGGTTTCCCAACTAAGCTTTTCTTCAATGGAGAAGAATGTGCGCTTCCAAAACATTTCCCAAAGAAGAGTTCAGGACATAGAGATGGTATCAGTGTCTTGATGTCACTTGTTTTCGCTATGGCAGCTACTTTTGCATTAATGATGGATTGATTACTGAAGAAGTAACTAAAGTTAGCATTATTGGGGCTTTGATGCTGTTGCTGAACAAAGATGGATCAAAAGGAGCAGATGTGTGTGACTGATCTATATTGAAAAATGGACATGTTGTATTAATACACTTTTGTTTGGGTGTTCATGTGGATGTTGTTCTCTGCTAATCAAAAAAGCTCAGAACAATGTCGGCTATTTTTTGACATGAAAAAAGATCTTAGTCTCTTGATTTGGAGTTGATTCTTTTTTTTTAATCAAGTCTCTCTTTGGTCTTTAAGATACAAAATCCAAAGATGCATACGTAAGGAACAAAGAATAGTGAGAGAAGCAAGTCACGTGAGATTCGAAAACTAAAACACTTCTTGAAAGCAATGCTTTGCTTAGAATCTGAGAAATATAATAAAAAGCTTCTCTGCAACATTTCCTCAAAAGCCTCACCTTTATATAAACTAAAACGTCTTTCATCATGTCTCATCAACCCCTATAACACAGTAAATTCACATACATACATCTTAAAAGATGGTTCTAAACCTAAAGAAGATGATGCTTCGTGGGTTCGGTCTTATGTGTATGTTCATGATCGTTAACAAAGCTAACGCTAGAGAGTTTGCGGTTGGTGGTGCAAAAGGCTGGACCGTCCCTTCAGGTTCTCAAGTATACAGTCAATGGGCAGAACAGAGCAGATTCCAAATCGGAGACTCTCTGCGTAAGTTACTACTTAACCATAATCATAGCTTTCTTTTCACATATGACACACTAAAACATGTATACAACTGCAGTCTTTGTCTACCAACCAAACCAAGATTCAGTGCTCCAAGTCACAAGAGACGCTTACGACAGCTGCAACACGGATGCACCAACCGCTAAATTCTCAGATGGCAAAACTTCTTTCGCGCTAACCCACTCTGGACCATACTATTTCATCAGCGGAAACAAAGACAACTGCAACAAAAACGAGAAGCTAGTGGTCATCGTCATGGCTGACAGAAACGGTAACAACAACAGCACAACATCATCACCGCCTTCTCCAGCTCCGGCTCCCTCATCATTAGCACCTTCTCCAGAGCTGGCTCCCTCTGCAGAGTCCCCTCCTTCTCCACCGCCAATGACAGGACCCTTTGAGAGCCCAGCACCTACTCCATCTCAAGAAACTCCAAACAACAATGCAGCTTCTCCATCTTCTTCCTTCCTCGCTGCTCTTCTCGGAGCTGCCTTTGCTTCCACTCTATTCCTACACTAACAAGTTTCTCTTTTGCCTTCTGTCATCGCTTGAGTTTGTGTCTATTGGTGTTTGTAACTTGATTTATACAAATTTGTTTCTCATGTAAATAAATAAACGTTCCACTTGTCTGTATTATTTCCAAAACAAACATAAAGCAACTAAGATACTGTCAAAACAAAATTTCTTTCTCTTATCTGAGTTTTTCTCTGTAGGAACAGCTGTTCCAAATAAACAGTCTGAGGTTCTTGTATGGTGTTGTTATAGAATAATAGTAAACTCTAACCTCCAGTCACCAATCAAAAGTTTTTCCCCAGCTCAACCTTTTTAACCAGTCTTATTGTATTGTGGAAAATGGAATCTAGTATACCCGCAACCTGAAAACAAACAAATATCAACATTAAAACCACCATGGAATCTTTGAGAGTATGATGAAGAAAGATTGACTGAGATTGAGAATATACTCACCGTGAAAACACCACCAATAATGGCGCAAAGGTTTGTGATGAAGTGTGAGAAAGACTTTGGGTTTTCAGTTATCATAATCTGCACACAAAAATAAAACAGATCACCAAGGAGGTAATTATAAAGAGGAGAGTATATATTCAGAAATTTAAGAGAGATATTGACTGAACCTGCATGGGAGAGAGCTCAAAGTGGAACTTTGCAACGGGTAAGTAGTAAGTCTGAGCTATGCTGCTGTGAGCGGTGTATTCATATTCCTCAACCAATGAATGTTCTTGACCGTTTCTTCTTGTAATGACCTCTGTTTTGACTACTTGAAGGTAGTGTTCGATCTGTATACAGCGTTTAGTATATGAATGAAGGTTCAAAGAATCTAAATTAATACGAAGGTGGATGTTGGGACTTACAGTAACATTGGCACCAAACTCGTGTTGATTTATGAATGCTTTTTCATCAAGCTTGTCATGGCTTTGGCCAATATATGGCAACAACCGCTTCATATCGGTCAACAACCTTGGAGAAAACGACCTCCCGAATGAAAGATGGTTAACAACATGCGACATGTTCATTTTAGAAGAATCGAACGAATGAGCTCCTGAATGAGCTGAGACCATAAGGTTTCCTGGAACCTGAAACATTACAAAAGAAGTATCAAACATGCCGCAAATCAGTTACAGGGACATTGATTCTATCTTCACTTTTTTACCTTCTTCACACGCACATAACCTTCAATTCTACAACCACCTGTAACTGGTGCCTTTATAAGATGTTTTAATGTCTCATTGGATATACCATCCAAATCTAGCTTGTGAGTCTCGGGGTGGATAGGTTCTACCAGTTTATCCACCATCTGTAAGAAACAAAAATCCTTGTGTATTAACTTTTATACGAACATGCTTAAAGACTGACTCAAAACGCAGCAAAAAGATATGATGTCCATGTTTTTATATAACTAGACGAACTAACCAACACACATATAACATCCTGATCCGTTAATGAAATCTGGATTTATCTACCTTAACTATACTATCTGTGTCTCGGTCTCCATAGTAAGCTTCATGGTCGTGGTGTCCATGGTCCTCTCTGAAAACAATAAAACAAGATAAGGCTTTATTAAGAATGTTTACACAAGCAGATATGTGGTTTATGTACTTCCAACGGAAACTAAAATGCAAAAGAACATGTGTCAACATTTGACTATACTGTCTCTGCTTTACTACATAAGGTTAAGCAGAAGATATGACAAACTATAATTTAGGTTGTGACAGTTTAAACATCTTATTAGATGGTTTCTCACTTGAGGTCACTGCCTTTGCGGAAAATCCGAATAGACGGATAGCCTTGTATATGATTCCTGAAAAATACAAATCCAAATTTTATGTTAGGTCAAAACGAGATATTAATTTTCAGTGGTAGCCCCACTGCTCCTCAATGCATCCTTAAACAGTAGCTATGAGAAAGGTGGGCGAACAAGCAAGAAAGTAACTATCTTTTTCTAAACCCAAAATAACAAGAATATTTGGGGAAACGATCAACGTTTGCGTACCTCTTACACAGCTCAGCTTCTTCTGTGCAATCAACATTTCCGAGAAGAACACGCCCATCAGTTTCAGGATTATATCTGCAGCATAATATTAGCAATGATCATGTTCAGAAAGAATATATATCCGCCAACTAAATTCAACACTTAATAACTACGAAAAAGAGTTTAGTGCAAACTTGTGGTATATAATAGAAGCTGCTTTCTCCCAAGACGGTTTCTGTAACGAACACAAAAAGAAACTCAGCATAACCAAACATGAACGAATGTCTCAATGTTAGGATACATAATACCAGTAAAAGCTACAAAATGACCAACGTATAATTCACGAAAAAGAGATCAATAACACTACAGATACCATACCCCTTTAAAGAAAACCGCCATACACAACAAAAAAGAGAAAGTAAAGTTCCCTATAAATCATGAGATGGACGTAATGAAGCAGATTTGCTCTCCCTTGTTCAACCAGAACGAACAAGTTATGAAGAGTGCATCAAGAACAAAGACCACTAGTGCTTGCATATCAGATGAAAAAGACCATGAATTTGGAAATTTTTAACCCAAGCATAGGATACTACTGAAGAAAATTACCAGACGGTTACTCCAGTAGCACCATGGTGCATTAAAGTTAACAATCAATAACGGAAAGCTGCAAAAGAAAGAAAGTGAACGTTAATCCATATCCAAAGCCTCAGATAGTACTAGCACAATAAAAAGAAAAAGCTGCGTACTCACTGTTTTGAAAATGAATCAAAACTACCACTGACAAGTGGTACGGCACCATCAGGAATCTCTTCCTTAGTTTCTTCTCCGTGGTTGATCTGATGTGATGCATGGCCAGAGTGGAACTCTGGACCAGTGGTCTTTAAATGTGGATCAATTGGAAACTTGCGAATTGTCTTAGTTATATTCAACCTATTCTGAAAATTCAAACATCAAATTTAGATCTAGGCCCCAGCTAACCATATAAATAATATTCAGGCTATATATATATATTTAAAATAGCTCGGGTTAAAGGCAGTAAGTGTAGCTTTTAAAATTATACATAAGATGTTCTGCACAACTGAAAACAGGGAATCAGGGATAAAGTAATAAGCTTCAAGTTTTCAACCACATGATAAAAACACATGTATTTGCTGTAAGAATGCATTATTAAGTTTAGCCTTACTATATGATGACAATTACAAATATAACTGGAATCGATAAATATTGGAGTAAATCCAGTTCATAATAGTACAGCAGACTCAAAATGCTTATCTATATAGTCTTATCATGTAGCATATAGCCAAAGATAGATATTCTGATACTGAAGAAATGTCAAGATGTAAGCTTTTCCTTTTGCGTTTTTGCTTTCTTCATTAATAGCAAAATGCATTCTAACAGTGAGGAAGGGAAAATCAAAATAGAGAGTTATGAGAAGAGACTTACTGTTCCCAACACGTCACTCACATCAACTGATGCAAATTCACATGACAGGGCAGGGAAACTACAAAAAGAATGAAGATACAAAACCAATGTCAGCTTATAGAGAACCATAATCCCCAAACATGACTCGAAGCCTATGCCAAAGAAAGAAAAGAAGAGAAGATGAAAGTTTGAAACTATCATAGCAAATTATTTGTCAAGAAAGAAAACATATCTTCATGATTCTAGTGACTGTTATACCATGTTCCCTAGACGTTTAAAGCAAGATTTCAATATCAACAGAAACATAGTAAACACAACACAAAGAAAAATGAAACCTGATGTTGAAATGAATGCGTAAGAAGTCACCATCAGCGCTCTTGTCAACGACGACACTTGTGGTAGTGTTGACTGCCAAATAACTACTCAGCTCCTGCAAGATGGACATTAGATCATAACTACTCAGGGATGATTTTGTGAAACGATCTTTGACAGACATTAATAAAAAAAAAAGGATATACCATTCCGAACAAAAGCATCATAATGAGAGCAGCTCCAATGGATAAGCCAGCACCTGACAGAGATGCCTCTGTCAAATCCCTCGGAATTTTCCTAAACAACAAAGGGCACCTCGAAAGTCAGATCCTTTTTGGATTATTAAGAAAAAGAATGGAACTTTCTTAACAATCAAGGAAACGTAAACAAACCCATAATTCGAATTCCCGAAATAAATCAATCTAAAAATGAATGTACGTGAAACAGAGAAAACAGAGGAATGTGGAAATGTTAGAGAGAGGGGGAGAGGATCGCGCACCTGTAGAAGTCCATGGATTTGAGTTTGGTAGGGGAAACCATAGCTGATGCGGAGATGGATGAGAGGGCGATCGCGCTAGGAGAGTGAAAAAAGAGAGAGAGAGAGAGAGCAGATCTAGTGTGATGGGAAAGAAGAATGTGAAGAGGAAGAAGATGAGTTATCTCTTTTCTCGCTTTCTCCTGTAATGCCGAATCCGTGAATGACCGTGAAAGTGAAGGAAACCTTTTGCGTTTCAAATCTCTACCTTCTTTTATGCCTTTTGTTTTTTTGGGTCCACCTCATACAGTAAAGAAGGTAGAGATTTGAAAACATATTAAATTGTCTTCTTTTTTTTTTTTTTATCAAATATTAAATTGTCTTCTTTTTGTCCGAAAATAACTAATTGTCTAACATTCTACTTTTTTTTTTAAAGATACTTGATTTTAAAACTATCCTTACATTTTTTTTTGTTTATGTTTATTGTCTTTCTTGTAATTTTAAATGTATTTTTGCATTTTGGGATATTTTTGTTAATAATAAATCTAATTCACATCCAAAAGCTATATATATTTGCATATTGTCTACAAATCTCTCAAAATCTTTACGTTTAATACTTGATATCTGAATATAAAATTTGTGAAAACTGACATCCACATATGGACAATAATTGTGAGAATTTGAACTTTTAAGATTTTTTACCATTTTAGTATCATAATTCACATCTACAAACTAAATAAAAATGAAAGATTACCACATGTTTATATATTGTCCACACATATCTCAATATGAACCTATTAGACGGAAGACTCCAGTTCCACCAAAGATTTAGATATCCATCAAAGCTCAGCCAAACAACACTCAACATTATTAGCCCTTCAACCCAATATTCTTTCCTGCAATGGTAACATCGGACCAGCACAAAGGGAGTCAAAAGGTAATCTTCGTACGATGACTACAACTAAGAATATCCAACTATTCAACCGATTTGATTCCTTAAACCTGTATGTTATCACATGCTGAACTGTATCCTATTTGTCTCTTTGTAAGCTCGAGCTCTAGCTATATATTGTAAGGACCAATGGACGTTATAATTAAGCAGAAAAGATTAATAATAAAGTTATTTTCTATTTCAAGTTTTCTCAAACTTCTTAAATCTTTCATGGTATTAGAACCATGGATGAAGATCCGTGTTTGGCTCTACACCCCGACAACCACCCACCCTTACTGTTCGTAACGAAGATATAGCGACTCCAAACCCTAAGTATGCCATATGGGTTCGTACAGACAATTGTATAATGACATGGCTGGTTGGATCTCTTTCCGAAGAAGCTATCAAAAACAACTATGGTCTTCATTCCTCCCAAGAGCTACGGTACTATCTGGCACAGAAGTACAACTATGTCTCTCATACAAGGAAACTCGAGCTCCAGAGCCGTATACATGCGTTAACGAAAGGCAACCGTTCTCTAAATATCTATCTGAAATCAAGTCCCTTTGCGACCAACTTGACTCGATTGGTGCTCCTCTTTCTGAACAAGAAAAAGATTTATGATGTTTTAAAGGGTCTTAGCAGAGAATACGAGTCTATCTCCACCCTGATAGAGAACTCCATGGATGTGTTTTGTGAGGGATAAAACTCACTTCCTAATTTAGATCAGGTTTAGATTGGAGAGAAGATAACGTGGGCTGAATCCCGTTTAGAACTTAAAGAATGAATATGATTGTATTGAATTTTTTTGGTAAAAGATGATTACAAGCGTAACGATTTGTGATTACAAAGGATCAAGAATGTTTGTAGAATTCTAGAATGTGTAAACAATGAATGAAATCTGGACCCCCCGTTATGATCTCCTCCTCCTCTTTAAATAGCTCTCAGCCACGCTCCAACGATCTTAGCTAACCTCCGAGATTTGCTGTGTGAGTTAGGGGATTCTCAACAGTCTCCTTTTGACCGGGTCCTACGCATAGAGCCTGAGCTACTCCCATTAGCTCTTTCTAAATGAGGTCTGGAGTTCTCTTCTGTGACCTGTTTTGTTAACATTTCTTCCTTAGCAAAACAGCCTCCGGCTTCTTCTTAACTCCTTTCTCAAAGATTTAATTGCTAATGGGCTTATAATAGCCCATTGTCAACTCTTATTACTCGAGCCCGTTAATTTCAGCTAACGGGCCATATTTGGGCCCAACAGTTGCCCCCAGCTTTTGAGAGAAGACACTTTGTCTCGGAAGGTAAACCTAGCCGCCGAATCTTAACCTTTTCGCTGAGATAATAATTACCCGTTTATCTTTTTCGAGGATATCCCTTATCTAATCTGACGTCTACGATTATGTTTAGTGAGATCAACGGCTTAGATAAAATGAATTTGAAATAGTTATCCCCCGATTTTTGAGACTCGACGGGATATAAAGCTGCCTACATTAACTGCAACTCTCCCCACCTTCTCCACGTCTCAATTCGGTTTCTCAGGTAACTTCCTCTGGTTTCTCTATTTTACTTTCTTTCGCTTTCATTATATGTTATTTTTTTTTTATTAAGCTCTTTCTCGGATAATCTCTTTCGAAATTCTTTCTGCTTGAGACTTTGATCCATTAGTTCGATCTTTCTTTTTCCTTTCTTATCTCCTTTCGATTCTTGCATCGTTTCTTGCTATGACCCGACCAAAAGAAGGTTCTGGAGAGACGGGAATCTCTACTACTTGTGCTCAACTTATGAAGGTGAAACAAGAAGTCGATGAAACAATGAGGAAGACCAAGAGGAAGAAGAGGGCTAAGGAGTCGATAGCCAGAGAGTTTCCAAACGAACGAAAAAGACCGGGGGCTTCAGCGGGAGTGCTCCCTCCGGATCTCACCCACCCTCCGTACTAAAGAGCCAAGAGGTTGTGAACCTTATGGTTCAGGCCCAAGGTCGGAGGGAGTTGGCCAGGGCTTGTAAACCAGAGGAAACCCCCGAGACGGCTCCGGAGGGTTGGTTCTGCGTTCACGAGAACTATATTTCCAAGAGCCACCTTAGGTTTCCTCTCCATGACCTCCTGTTAGACCTTCTCGATCATTACCAACTAGCTCTTTCCCAACTTTGTCCCTCGGTTATTCGAGTGATAAACAGTTTCATCACTGGATCCAAAGAAGAGGGAGTTGCTACCGGGCTTGGCTCCCTAATGAGCCTGTTCTTGATAAAGGAGAGTGCCTCCAAAGAAGGTGGTAGTGGGACCTATTACCTTCCTTTTCGTCCCAGGTTGGGTATTTTCAATTTTTTCTAGCAGTGATGACGACTGGCGGAGGAAGTATTTCTACATCAACATTGATCCTTCGACGGTTCCCGCGGGTCGTGCCCTTAAGACTTCTTGGTCCGATGCGTCCGGTTAGGATTTCTTAGGAATGTGTTCGTTTATTTTTATCAATTGTGACCTGATAGATGTTTGGTTTTGCTTGCAGATATCGAGGATCCTGCTGCGCTCCCGAGCAAGCTTACCAGAGCCCTCTTTCGAAAGTTGCAGCAAACTCACTGTACCTGGGCGTCGTACACCACTTCTCGAATAGGATCAGCTAGATTCCCAGATCGGTATAACGCTTCCTTCCTAAACCATGTGCCAGTAACAGACTTAGAAGGTAATGTGCTTACTCTAACGTCTTTGACGCGTGTAAGCTTAAGATACCCGAGTACTGAAGGAAATTTGGTAATGCAGTTTCCGAAGGTAACACGGTGGTATCAATTTCAACGGGAGCTAGAACTTCCAGGACCAAAAAGACCCAATCAGCCAAGATGCCTCTTCAGCCGTCATTCCGTTCTAAGGGTAGGCCGGTAAAAGCAGCTAGCACCTCGCGAGGGAGCGAGAAGAATCATGGGGGTTCTTTCCTGAGTTCTGTGAAGGAGGTTCTAGATAATGGAGCTTCTGCTCCAGCTAAGGATGTCAACCCCGTTGAAGCACATGGAGCTCAAGATATAGTCTCGCTCTCTGAGATTCAGGTTATGGAGACCGATCCTTAGACGATCAAGGAGCCTTCCGAGATTGACTTTCCTAGAAACAAAAGGTCAAGGACTGATCAAGGTGACAGACCTTCCAGGTCCTCTTCCTTGTCTTCCAGAGGAGGGACTGTCGGCTGGAGTTTTGCTCACTCGAAGCCTAGATCGATTCTTGATGATCCTTGGGGCTTGGCGACGTTGATGAGGCATATGAAGAGGACAGGATGTTCCCTTCCTCCGATCAGTAATTTGACTAACAGAGATGAGTTCATCGAGATCGCCCATTATATGGGTCTGGTACGGGATCTTAGCTTTTTACTGTTTTCCGTAGAAAGATATTAATTTTTTCTACTTTTGTCTCTTCGTAGTTGGCTGGAGCTGTTAACAGAGCTCAGCTGAAGTTTGAGGAGACGGTGAGCAATGCCCCCAACGCTGGTGAGCTAGCTCAGGTTACTGAGATGGTCAAGGCCACCAAGATTGATCTCGATCAAGCCAGAGCTCAGGCTTCGGCGTTGCAGTCCGAAGTTGAGAGGCTCGGCTTGAAGTCTGATACTCAACAAGGGAAGATCGAGAGCTTGGAGATCGACATTAAGGTGAAAAGAAGGAGGATCGCTGAACTAGATAATGCTCGGATAATCGCCGAGCAACAAGTTCAGGATCTGATTGTCTCGTCTCAAGTCAGTCAGAAGAACAAGGAGGCCGAAGTCAAGTTCGCCGTTAGAAGGGGGAAGAAGGAGGTAATTGATGCTTACAATAAGATCCTTGTCTTTATCAAGGAGAAGTTCTCCAAGAAGAAAGATGAGGTTGATCTTCAGATCTATGCTCATGAGCTTCAAGCTAACACCGAACTTTTAAAGGATTTGCTGACAAATGAGATTCAAAGTGCTGAGGAGGAGTACAACGTTTGATGGCCTTGATGCTGGAGGCGACCGCTGCTTATGAGAAGGCGCAAGTCTCTGATTTCTCGGTTAGCAAGCTTCCTCTTCCACAACTCTCAGAAAGCTCAGGTACTTTCGAGGTTAACATGTTTGATCCGTCTAGAATATGGTTCTAATTTAGGTTTGATGGGTCCTGATCCAGCCCCAGCTGAAGTGGTCCCAAGAGGTAATGACAAGGAGATGGACGAAGGTGCCCTAGCTATAGACAATGAGGCAGTCGAGC